TTTAGAGGAAACTAATAGCAGGGTAGAACACTGTAGGAGATCAGTATCTGAAAAGGTGTGTTGCAGAAAAACATTTTAGGTGATTTTTGAAACCGTGTTCAATTTTTTAAACAGCTATGTTTGGGGCTATCTCAATTTATATTGTCTTAAATGAAATGTGTGGTGCAGAAGCCAAGTCATAGTCTCTTATTTTATATATTTGAATGTCACAATAATTTAAAATACATAAAATTTTAATTCTAAGGAAAACACATTTGTGGAAAATAATGAACTATTTTTCAATCTTTGCAATAAAACACTACTGATTTCTACATTATTGTTTACTTGTTCTATAGAATCACACTGTTTACCATGTATACATAGCTTTGGCTTTTAAAGTACTAAAGTTGAAGTTACATAATGCTGGTTTTATCTTATAAACAGTTAAAATTAGATTTAATAAAATTCAAATCCAACAGCAATAGCTTAATCAAAAGACTTGTGTATAGTATGAAATTAAGAGATAACGGACAATATTTACCTACCAAATTGAAAATGTTAATTGTTTTCTTTATGCTTTACTGAAAATCCAAAGTGTCACTATAAATGCAACTGGCTAAACTTGTGCTTCTTCTGTGTTTTAGGACAGATTTTACAAGCTTTTTAAGTATATTTTGCAAATGTGTGGCTAAGGTATATGAGAATGAATCAACAAATGCAAAAATGCACTTTAAATCTTATAATCTACATAGATTTCTTAGAAACAAGGTAGAACCACCACCAACTTTTAAAAATCATGCTTCGGTTTTCCCATATGTAAAGTAAATAACATTTTGAAGCCTTCATAACTTCTAGCAACATCATGACAAGTCAGAGATATTTACTAGCATTCTTTTGCTATTCAGTGTTGTCCTTAAACTTTCACCAAAGAAAGATATTCTACTTTTTTTCCTGAGATGTTATGTCTTTCAACATGTTAATATTAACATAATCTCTTGAAAACATAGAGATATACACATAAATATCTTAATATATCAGAAAAACAAGACCAGTTATATCTAGGAAGCAATAAATCACGCAAGAATTTGTGTGACCACTTAATTTAGCTCCATTAACCATATCAACTGTGGACTCTTTCCTCTCTCCTCTAGAGCCCAGCCAAATAATTTTTTCAAGACCCCCGCAGCTAACCATACCCTCTCTTCTGAAAACCCTTAACCAACTTTCTACAGACACAAACCCATTTCTTAGCATTATGTGAAATCTCTTCCAAAGTTTAACTGTCAGTTGACTTTCCAACTGCAGTTTGTAAACTCTAGCACCCAGAGCCTTTTCCCTCCAGTGAAACTGTCAATGAATCTGCAAGAACATATTTTCCTGTGATTTGCATCTAGTTAGTGCTTAATATTCATGCTTTGGGCCACTGTCTAGCAACATGTCTACTTCAGAGCTGCAATTTTGTAACATTAGTGCTGAACAGTTCTTCTTCATGGTCCCTTCCATAAGTAGAGTGATTTGTTTATTTTGTCATTTACTTAGAATCTGACTCACTGTTAGACAGAATATTCCATGACAGCCAAGATGACTAAATTATTCTTGCTGGGTAAACAGACTAATAATACAGTTCTTCCTGATATTTGGTATATCTCAGGGAATGCTTCTGAGCAGGTAACCAAATGAAGAAACTTTAAATCCCCCAAGTTATTTAATTAATCAATAAGATTTCCTGAGTATGTATTAAGAAATGAAACTATGGCATAACCTTCTTATATTCTGTACTTTTGTGATAAACTGTTACACACAACTTACACCAACTCATTTTGACCAGAAACCTAGCAATACTTCTTAGCACAGCAAAACATTCAAATGTTCCATGATTTCTTTTAACACTATTTTTACTTGGTCTAACGCTAGTCAGAAAGTTAATTTGTTTTTCAGATAACATACATTGCTATCAAATTCAAGATTCCAAAAAATACATTGCTTTTCTAAACCCTATATTTAGTGAAGGCCACAATATAAAAGTTTTCAATATTCATGTAGGTCCACCTATTTCACAGTTTTTGGCTCACTGATTCCATACCAAAATTGCAATAAAGATAGAATGAAAGTGTTGAGCATAGAACGTTACACAGAAATTAACAAAATTATAGGTTTGTGTGATGGAGGCATACTGTCTGTACTTGAAATTATTATATTTTTATGTTGCAATTTTGCTATACAATAATGATTCCCTTGAAATGAGCTGTTGGTTTTCTTTACATTCTGTGTTTCAAGTGTTTTAAGTGTTTCTCTCTGATATGGGTCTACAGACAGGGAATTCCTAGAGATCATACAAATAAATTGATGTATATTTTCTAAAACTTGGAATATATAATGTGTCATGATTAATACCATGGCTGAAATATTTAAATATTTATTGTAAACACAGAGATCTCTGTTTTGTAAAACAAAAAAAATAAATAAATAAACAAACATCCTGAATTTCCACAGAGGATGAATAAATTAGCATGTTTCTACTCACAAAAATTCCAGAAAGGAGAAGGTCATAGAAAGACAATGAAAGTATCCTGCTCTGTACTCAGTCCGAGAGGGGACAGTGCATCACCAGCTAGAGACACACACTTACAGCAGAAGTGATGGAGACACCTTTGAGTTTCTTTTGCTCTGAGCTGAGCAAAAGAATCATCTTTCCTTAATCATCTGCCAAAATCTGTGCCAAAATCAATGCCAGACAAATAAAAAGACTCATATCTCCTGTTCCTGGCCATTTGTCAACTCAAGAGAACAAGGGACAGCTCCCCAAGAAGGGAAGGATGCACAGAAATTTTAGTACAGAAAACCAGAGAAGATCCCACTCCTCTGCTCATCTCTGGCCCTTGTGACCCCAGCCCAAACTGGAAAAATATTAAAGAAGCACAACCAGTGTGATGCTAATTTCACTGAAAATACCCCAGGCTAGATATGCTAATTAATGAGTTTGTTAAATGATGGCTTTATTTTTTCTTAAATTGGCAAATATAATTATATATTTTATTGTGTATAGTACTATTTACTTATTTATTTTTACCCAGACATGCTCTGGACTGTGGTGTTCAGCCAGGGACAGATATATATAAGTAGTGGTAGTACTATTTGATTAACCCACCTCACCATGCCATAGGTATCTGAATTTATGCAACTGTACCATGGTGACAAAACAAAAAATCCAACCTCTCAGAGCATGTCACTGTCATCACACAACATATAACTATGTCTTTCTGTGCCTTGTGGATTAGTAAAATTAAACAAATTAATATATGTATTCATACATTTTCTATTAGTGGTAGGAACACTTAATATATATTCTTTAAACTAGAGGAAGTTTTACTGAAAAAAATGTTATATGCTTTATCATGAAACAGGAAAGTAAATTGATCATATAAGTGGTTTAAAAAGGCTGTGGAGCAGTCATACTGTGAATATATAGTAGTGTAGTACTTTTTTTCCAAAGTAGAATTTGACCTTGGTGTTGATCCTTAGAAGGCAAGGATTAAAAGTCATTTTTTTCTGGGTATAGGAAGCCATATGACAGGTTTACAGGAAGGTTATGATACTGAGAGCCGTGTATTTTCTGGAAGGAGACAGTTGTAATATGCTACATGGTCTAGACAGCGCTACTGGCTCACTCTACTAATGTGAGAAACTTAAAAAGCAAACAGGGAAAGCAATAAAATTGTAAAGATTGTATGGCACATTTAATAATATGATAAAATTGAAATATATTTTAAAAGAAATATATTTATGTTTTCAATTTATAGAGTTAAATGAGTAAGGAGTAAAGCAGAAGAAAAGTTAATACAGTTTGATTCATACAATATAGTAATAAATTTGCCTTGAATAACAAAACATTATTTTACGCCCTACTCATCATGAAGTTAAATAGAAAGAGTCTCCCTTTCTGTATTTATTAAGGCTCTGAAGTTATCTATCACATCAAGTAATAATTTGGTTGTTATGGAAGCAGGTTTTCCCTCAAGCTACTGTGAACCAAAGGAATTCCTTCAGTAGGTAGAGAAAGCAACATAAATCATGCTATAGTTTACTGCACAAATTAACTTTATATATTAACTTGGTTGACCTAAATAATATTAAATAAGTCAAATGTTTTAGTTTCAATTCCTTTAGGATCAGGAATCTTTTCTTGTATATTAACACTTAACACAGCTGCTTATGTAAGTTGCTGAGATATACACTCTCAATTGAAAGTAGACTTGAGAAAAATTTCAGAGCCTTATTTAGAAAATTAAAAGGGATGGTCCAAATGCAAAGTTAGTTGAAGAATTCGGTATAACACTATATATACTTATATCGTATGAATGCTTAGTTAAAACATCATCTGATGGAGAGTTCCAGAGACTCTAACCCTGAAGCTATATCAGTTAACACATTACTTGTCTTTATTTAACATATGTTTATTAGTTTTCCATTATTGTGACCAAATATCTGACATAAACAATTTAAAGGAGGAAGGGATAGTTTGTGCTCAGAGTTCCACAGATTTCAGGACTTGGTTAGCTGTCTTCAAGGCTGAAATCTCATGGTGAAAGGGCATGAAGAAAAAAGTGGTATATTTCAAAGAAGGGAGAAGACCGGAGGAAAAGTCCAAGAGGAAGGGACTTGAGACCAGATATAATTCCCTGTGTCAGGGTCCTAAGTCTCCTAGGCACGGTCAAAAGTGTGGCTGTCTTATTGCTAAGTATCTTTCAAATCAACAAAGCTTACAATAAGGTTTAACTATAACATATACTATATAGTTCAGTTTCAACTGAGTTCCCAAAAATATTTTCAGTAGTTTTAAAAACATATTACTGACAAACTATTGTATACTCCTATTAAACCAAATTTTTTCATAGACTTATTGAATCTATTCATTAAATATCAAAACATCTGGACTGTTATTTTTATCCAAAATGTTGAGTTACCTTAACTGCATGACTCGTTATACTTAAAACTTAACTTTTCATCATTGTTTTTGACAGCTGAAGATGCTTGTGGAGGAACAATGAGAGGATCCAGTGGCATCATATCCAGCCCTAGTTATCCTAACGAGTATCATAACAACGCAGATTGCACTTGGACCATTGTAGCGGAGCCTGGAGACACAATTTCACTCATATTTACTGAGTTTGAAACGGAGGAAAAATATGATTACTTAGAAATAGAAGGTTCAGATCCACCCACAATATGGTAAGTAGTTTTCATTAAACTAGCCTTCATGTCATTTCCTGAGACAAACTGAGAAGCACAGGACTAACATAGACCTTTAAAAATTTGAATGTTTAAAACATCGTACAGGACAGCTATAGGGGACAATGTGAGTAGTATTTCTCTATCACTCTATCACTGAAAAGGAATTTATGCCCCTTTCACAATTTAAGGAAATACATGGTTTTCTGTTTTAATTTATAGTTATGTATAGTTTTTAAAGCAAATTAATTTTTGCTTTCATAAATCATTAACTTATCCTGTTACAAGAAGACAAAAATTAAACACCAAAAACAGCAAAGAGAGTTGTTGGCATATATTTTTAAATTAAAATCTTTCTTTATAGTATTCTAAACCGTAGAGTCTCTCCTGGTATCATTGATCATATTGTGAGTCAGTAATGAAGAGAAAGAAAAATAATATTGTTGAAATGGGCGAACCTTAGTAAAGGACTTTTAACCTTAGTAAAGGTCTTTTAAGTCATAGAAAGCTTATCAAAGAACAGAGGGAATTTATTCAAAACAATTATGAAGAAGTTTGAATTTTTGAATAATTATTCTTACTGAAGTATGGAGATTGATTCAAAGTGAGGCTTGATTAGCTGCCCAAAACTCACTCAAGAGGTTATTACAGCAATTCAAGAAAAGATCATAGTTGCTTAGATTAGGGTCTTATTAATGAGACAAAAAAAGTAGAATAAGTTGAGGGGAGTGCAGAGGAGATATAATCAAAAAGGACTTTGTAATGGATTGGAGACTGAACCTGAGGACCAATAACATATAAAGGCCAGGGCTGGAAGAATGACTGTGCGGACAGAGGACGTGCACTGGGAGAGGTCAAAGGAAATGCAGGGAACGAAGGACAAACAAGGACAAAGGTATGGAGAATAATGGCAGCATGAAAGAGCAGACACAATTGGACTGTTAGTCAAAGAGCAGGAGGTACATGTTTAAAACAAGTCATAGCTGGTGGCTGCAAGAAACATATTACCTTTTTGTCATTGTAAATCCTACTTTTAAAACTGATAATAGAAAGATCCTTAAATATACTCATGTTCTTTCACTTTCTCACTTCAGATTCTCTGCATTCAGTTATTTTACTTATTTTCATAATTTTATACAACCGTGTGATAAAACCCAGTAGAAGTATGATTTTAAAATATTAGAAAATACTAAAACTATTTTAAAATTTATGATTTATAGTGTTTAATATTCTGCACATGTCAAGATATAGTATAAAATTGTTGTGAATTTTCCAATAATTACAATGTGCATGACATGCAAATTATGTCAATATAATATTGTTCTCAAATGTTCTAAATATTTGAATAGTTCATATAATGAAAAAAATCAGAAACATTCTTTTGTAGCACCAGTTCTTGTGCTACCACTGAACTCTAAAAACCAAATTTAACAATTTTACTTTGTGGATCATAATGTCCCTATTTATGTTCATATAGCCATGTTCTCATTTTAGATTAAAACATTCTTCGTAACAAATTGTGTGTTGTTTTATCAGCATTAGTTGCTACAATAATATACATTGTTCAGATTCGCAAAATTTCTTTCTTTCCATTTTCTTCTTTAAATGACACTGGGCCCCTGCTAATTCAGAAGACCTGAGAAAGAAAACAGGCTGAGAAATTCATTATCTAATTGTTTTAAATTAATGGTACAGTACTGTTTGGGTAAACGTGTGAGAACTTTGTTAAACTGAATAAAGAATAAGGTCATTTGGTATGTTTTCTAAGATGCCAAGCAAATTGCCTGAAAAATTAATAATACTTTACATGATCACTTGTGCATCATAAAGTAGCCATTCTTTTAAGTTATATTAGTTACAGGATTGATACAAAAAATCAACTGCAAATAATTAAAGCTTTTATACTTAATTCTGGCTCTCTAGTCTCTAAATCCTGTAAGTTTCTCATACTCTTTAAGAAATAGGGTTATTAAAATGACACATTTTCTTTCAGGTGTAATTTTATTAAGGGTTCTTTCTTATAAGTATGTGTGGCCATAGAACATTTTAAAGTCGTAACAGAGTTCAAAGGAAAACATGTGAACAGTAAGACATTCATGTTCTTTTGATTAAAATGACAAATGGTTTATTTGGTGTTAGACACGCATTCAGGGACTAGGAACTTGTCATTAATTTCTTTCATTCTAGTTTGTCTCTGAAGTTCAGTGAGGTAAAATTTGATCTATCCTGTGTTTGACTTTTTCAATTGAAACAAATAACCCAATAGTACTGCTGCACAGAAATATTAACAATAGGCTATTTCCTCATTTGTTCACTGTATGTGCTAAATCATTAGGTTCATGTTTATTGTAAAGACTCTGTAGAATCAGTATAATTCAGCAGGAAAGCAATGGATCCATATGGTTATTACTAGATAATAAAACTGTCTGAGACTTGATAATGTCACTGTAATTAAATAAAAATGACAGAGAATAAGGATGCATGTGTTCTAGCTTTAGCTTTGACTCTTCATTGATAAACAACAATAAGCAAATCATAAGATCCCTCTAGATGTCAGGCTCCTGGCTGATAACTTTGAAGGCTTCCCTGACTGTAGCACAGTCCAGCTTAGGCATAGTGGCAGGGTCAAAGGTCTTATTTACACAGCTTTGGATGAATAATTGGATTATATTATTTTTAATGTTTTTATCAAGTGAATTTGAATTCTTACTAGAACTTTTGTCATTCGGTGCTTTTTCAAGGACTACTACTACATCATCTACTGCATGACAACATTATTTTATGTATTTATATGACTGAAGTAATAGAGACCTATTCATGTAGAAACATATGCTTTTTAAAGGGAGGAAGCCATACATGTTTATTAATATAAATAAACAGCAGAAGTAATTTGCAATATTTAGGATCTAAGAAAGAATTTATGATTGTTGAAATAAATAATAGTGAAGGTCATTAGATTTTCAAGACAATGTTGATAGAATTTCACCAAATTTAATAATGTAAATTTCAGATATGAAGTCAGACAAAGAAGACAAAAGAAAAACTCTAAGTTGAACAGATTTAATTTGTATTAAACAACATTGGGAAGAATGTTTCATTTGATTAAACATTTTGGTAGAATGATCAAAAGCTTCATTTGGTACATCTAAGTTTGGCTGGGTAATACACAAATTGGAGACAATTTCAAGGAGGTGAATAGACATAGAAGTCAAGAGTTCAGAAACAAAGATGTGAGGTAGAACTATAAATTTACAATTTAGAAGTAGAGGCGATTATTTAAATGCTTACAAAGAGTAGAGATTACAAAAATCTCAAAAGGAGAAAAAATTCAGTGGCTCCTCGGGCATCTTAGCACTGAAAAGTCAGTAAAACTAGGATGACTCAGTAAAGGAGACTGAGAATAAGAGTAATGAGAGATATAATGGCAGGCAAGTATGAGGTTCCTGGAAACCAAACAGGAAAAACCAATCAAGGAGCTGTCCAGTGTGGCAAATGTGTGCAATGAGCAAGTCAAACCAGCTCTCAAGTGGATGAGTGGAACAGGTCGTGTGGAGTGCATAGTAATCCAGCAAAGCAATTATTTTTGAGATGGCAGTGTGCTCGGAACTGTGTTACAAGAGAATCGGAAAAGAAATACTGCATGCGTCCTTAAGGGAACTTTGTAAGAAAAGTAAATACTGTAGTAAGAAAATGGGTAAAGAAGAAAATAGGTTAAGGATTTTTTTTTTTTTCTTTTTCTGCGTGGTGCTGGAAATAGAATCTCAGATCTCACACACGCTGTTGTAGAAATTTCACTCTACTACAGATTTCCATCCCTGGCCCAGTGAGGTGGGAGGAGGTGCAAGCATTTTCTTTCTCTTATTTTTAATTTTTTTTTTTTTTTTGTTAATTGGAAGAGTTAAAATGTGACTTTATCCTCATATGAATGACCTACCAGAAAGTGAAAAATCGGTAATACAAAGAAAGACTAGATTTGAAGCCAAAATAGTGAAACTAAACTTTCTTTTAAAAATCTGTTTCTGAAAGGAGGAAGAAAAAAAAATCACAAACTAGATAGTGGAGCAAATAAACAAAGTGAGATGAAAAGAGTTCTTGGGTGTCTTTATGCCAGAGGTTTTTATGGTAAGGAACAAAAGTGCTCCACTAGGGAGCTACATTCCTAACCCAAGTTTAGTTAATTTGGAAATTTCAAAAAATTATTGCAAGGGAAAATTATCAAAAAATAGAATCCAAATGAACAAAAGCTAATTGTCAAAGATAAGAATCAAAAAGAGGCAAGTGACTGAGTATCACAAATAGTGTAAACACTCCGACAACAGTTATTACTTTAGATTCAAAGACAGTAAAGTTGTAATTCAAATAGAAAGGTCAGGATGACACAGTTTTAATTCAAATAGCAAGGGTATGAATACCAGATTAAGCTCAGAATATAAGTGAAAACGTTTTAATGCCAGATAACAGAAAATATGAATGAATTAATGTTATTCAAATTATGAAAACTATGTAATGCACATTTTGGCACAGTCTTTCTCACCTAGTGGTGCATTATTCCCCCAATTTTCATAATTTTATTCTACATGACCATTTTTACCATAACTTAGTTTGGCTCACCATTTCTGTGAAAAGACCTGTTCCAAAATGATCCATTAGTTCCTAGTATTTAACTTGATTTGTCTGTGACATTTAACTTTACTCATCATTTGGTTTTTTCTTGATCATGCTTTCAACTTGATGATGAGGAATTCATCTCCAATTTTTTTCAGTGTTTTTGCTTACTGTATTTATTAGACTGTTTTTCAGTGTTTTTTTTTCCTTCATCCTGGCTGTCTCTGTTGTATTTGCTTATCATTTTTTTCTTCTCTATTATTTCTGTTTCCTTTACTTTAGAATCTGAATATATTCTAAAAGCATTGAGCCTCTTAAGACTCAGCAATTTTTCTTTACTAATCACTTGCTCTGTCACTTTCTCTCTATGTATAAATCTTTACTAGAATAACAGA